TTAGGGTTGGCCCCTAATAGCTGAATAAACTCTGTGCGGACATCAGAGGACGATGCACTTGTGTCGACCAGAAACGTTACGTCAACACCGTGAATTTTAACTTCAGGATGAGTGGGGATCTCAAACATTGGCTAAATAAGGGCACATTAAGTGGTTTCCCACCCTGAGGTTCTTTATTATGTCCACACTTCCATGCCCTGCTTTGAGATGACGACAATAATAACATCTGTTGTGATCACTGTTAGGTTTGGAGAGGGTTGTAGATGGTGTTGTTGGTTGAAATGGTGATGGAACGCTGAGGCGGCGTTGTCGGGCGTTCTTTGGCCAGTGGTCCCTAGCCCATAACAGGAGGTACCGTCAGTTTCACGAAAGAATGTGCATCACACTCTCGAAGCGTTTGACTACCTCAAGAGCCTCTGATATAGATTTTGCTGGTCGGCGTGAAAGCTGGCTCTTGAGCTCGTAAGATAAGGAACCTTGTGCGAAGTGAGCACAAATTGCCTCATCGCGGTTCGCACTAGTAAGGATAGGAAAGGCATAGGATGCGATCTCGGAAAGCTTGTGAAGGTAGTTGGCACTCGTCTCACCCAATTCTTTCCAACCACTCAAGAAAGAGTGCATGTATGCGGAGGTGCTAGAAGGTTTTGCGAAGCGTTCACCTAGGATGCGCCAGTTGTCGTTGAGCATCTTGGACGCAGAGAATCCCCCAGCGATTGCACGACGTAACGCGGCACCACTCAAAGCCAACATGGTCTGGGTATACGGAGCTCGTGGATACAGACCTATGAGAAGAGGTTCCATGTGAAATTTTGACAGCTCTTAGTCGCTGTTGATGTCCACCCGTGTTGGCCCTCGAACAAGTAAGATGTGTTCTGTGAATGAAGAATGTGTGTCGGTTTTCTGGTTGGAGAGTATTGCAAGAGGTTCGACTGAGTCCAATTTCATGTTCAGAATAAATATGGAACACCGCTGGCACCAATTTGCAACAGGCAAAGCAGCAGACACACAAATAGTGAAAACAGAACACGAGCTGTGCAGATGAATGTTTATTCCTCGAAATCAACTGGTAAACATCCGGAAGTCCAGCCTTAGGGCATAACAGTTTTACTGGTCTTCGTAAATGTTTAGGTTCTGCAACTCGTGTATCTCCCGGTCCAGATAGGTGACTCCTGAGTACCTTCCTGCAAGTAAAAACAAAACTTTGATTGATGTTATAATATAAGTTTCCCTTTTAATTCATGACTAAATAAAACGTAAATTTTAGTAGTTTCGCGCATTTAATAATAACTCACTGTCAGCCACGTCTCATAAACCGTTAATGCCCAGCTCTTGCTGCACTCGGGCTCACGCTGTTCCTTGAAGTTTCTCAGAAACGCTTAGTAATAACGGACGAAAAAACCAAAAGACCGATTGGCCACTCGAGAATTCTTTATTGTGACACCAACATATAAAAATAATGTTTTTACTAGGGTCTGTGAACAAATATTACAATAGTAAATCACAATATTACTTCTGATGGTTTACTGCTGACTTCTTACTGAACAGCGACCGATGAGACGATGACTATCGTATTGATGCCTCCGCGAAAATTGGGGAAGTTGGTTTTGAGCAAACAACCATGAATTGATCGTTCAATCTTCAACTGCATTGACACTCCCCGGCAAATAACGATCCAACCCTTTTTTCCTTCACGACCAATACACTTTGACTTGGATGCTATTGTGAGAACCTGGGTCACACGGACAGAGCTGAAATGGAAAACAAACAGAAAAGCCAACACACCACAAGTAGACCAGTTGGTAAATTCTGTATAATGTCCAAGTAACTTATATCTTTCCATGTGATGTTGTGGTAAGTTTCGACCACGTTTTCTCATATTTCATTAGTATGTCAGTTATTGATCTCCATTTGTATCAGATAGACATTATTCGACCGACTCTTAATTGTATGGGTGTACAACAGGTGTAATATTTAAGCTTATACATTAAATGGACCTATAATTTCGGAGGCTCTCAGATAGGAACTAGGACTACTACCGTTTGCAAACTCTTGTAGTTTGTTGTTAAGCACTTTTTTGAATGAGGCCAATGTACCTGCTTGACGCATTTCCATTGGTAGTTTATTCCATATCTGTGCATACCTAATCAAGTAAGACTTTTGCCTGGTAGCTGTTTTACGTTGTTCGATAGCTACTGTACCCTTAGTGTGTCTTAGTTTGTAGCCATTGTCATCTGAAAGTCAAGTGCCATTAGTAGAGGTAAAAACTAAGTGGTTTAGAAGCTTATAGTAAAGTGTTAAGTTTAGTCTCAGGCGTCTTAGCCATAGTGTTTCTAATCCTAGGGTATCACATCTAGTGGAGTAGTTCGCACCATTTTCGGTTCCGAGTAATTTTGAGGTGAAGTACATCTGCACTCCCTCGACTTTCAATTTGTCCTCTGTGCGTATACTACTATACATGAATGAACAGTAATCAAATATAGGACGCACACAAGCCTTGTACAACATAATTCTGGACTCATTTCCGTAGAAGTTCCTGAGTAGAAAGCCGATAAGTCTGCGTGACTTTGACACTTGTTTGGAGGTATGTTCAGAAAATGATAAGTCATGTGAGTATTTCAGTCCTAGGTCCAATACAGATTCCAGTCGTAAGAGTGCATGGCCTTGAATTGTCAGGTCAAGTTCTAAGTTGTTGCAACCTATGCAGAGCCAGCCACATTTTTCGACATTAAACTGGAGTTGCCAGGTGTCACACCATCTGTCCATTTTTTCTAATTCTTGCTGTATGGCGTTTACTGTTATTCCGAGATCTGTGTTCTTGCATTTATAGGTCACTTTTAAGTCGTCTGCATATAGTATTGGTTTACCAACACTAAAGCATTCACAGATACTGTTTATATATATTATGAATAGGAGTGGGCCTAATACACTTCCCTGGATTACACCACTACTTACAGGTTTAGGCCTTGACATTATCGAGCCAACTTTCGTTATCCGACTTCGGCCACAGAGAAATGATTTTATCCAGCTCAGGAGAGGGTCACATATCCCTAGTGAGCATAACCTGCTGACTAGCAGATTATGCTGGATGTCAGCCACGTCTCATAAACCGTTAATGCCCAGCTCTTGCTACGCTCGGGCCCACGCTGTTCCTTGCAGTTTTTCAGAAACGCTTAGTAATAACGGACGAAAAAACCAAAAGACCGATTGGCCACTCGAGAATTCTTTATTGTGACACCAACATATAAAAATAATGTTTTTACTAGGGTCTGTGAACAAATATTACAATAGTAAATCACAATATTACTTCTGATGGTTTACTGCTGACTTCTTACTGAACAGCGACCGATGAGACGATGACTATCGTATTGATGCCTCCGCGAAAATTGGGGAAGTTGGTTTTGAGCAAACAACCATGAATTGATCGTTCAATCTTCAACTGCATTGACACTCCCCGGCAAATAACGATCCAACCCTTTTTTCCTTCACGACCAATACACTTTGACTTGGATGCTATTGTGAGAACCTGGGTCACACGGACAGAGCTGAAATGGAAAACAAACAGAAAAGCCAACACACCACAAGTAGACCAGTTGGTAAATTCTGTATAATGTCCAAGTAACTTATATCTTTCCATGTGATGTTGTGGTAAGTTTCGACCACGTTTTCTCATATTTCATTAGTATGTCAGTTATTGATCTCCATTTGTATCAGATAGACATTATTCGACCGACTCTTAATTGTATGGGTGTACAACAGGTGTAATATTTAAGCTTATACATTAAATGGACCTATAATTTCGGAGGCTCCCAGATAGGAACTAGGACTACTACCGTTTGCAAACTCTTGTAGTTTGTTGTTAAGCACTTTTTTGAATGAGGCCAATGTACCTGCTTGGCGCATTTCCATTGGTAGTTTATTCCATATCTGTGCATACCTAATCAAGTAAGACTTTTGCCTGGTAGCTGTTTTACGTTGTTCGATAGCTACTGTACCCTTAGTGTGTCTTAGTTTGTAGCCATTGTCATCTGAAAGTCAAGTGCCATTAGTAGAGGTAAAAACTAAGTGGTTTAGAAGCTTATAGTAAAGTGTTAAGTTTAGTCTCAGGCGTCTTAGCCATAGTGTTTCTAATCCTAGGGTATCACATCTAGTGGAGTAGTTCGCACCATTTTCGGTTCCGAGTAATTTTGAGGTGAAGTACATCTGCACTCCCTCGACTTTCAATTTGTCCTCTATGCGTATACTACTATACATGAATGAACAGTAATCAAATATAGGACGCACACAAGCCTTGTACAACATAATTCTGGACTCATTTCCGTAGAAGTTCCTGAGTAGAAAGCCGATAAGTCTGCGTGACTTTGACACTTGTTTGGAGGTATGTTCAGAAAATGATAAGTCATGTGAGTATTTCAGTCCTAGGTCCAATACAGATTCCAGTCGTAAGAGTGCATGGCCTTGAATTGTCAGGTCAAGTTCTAAGTTGTTGCAACCTATGCAGAGCCAGCCACATTTTTCGACATTAAACTGGAGTTGCCAGGTGTCACACCATCTGTCCATTTTTTCTAATTCTTTCTGTATGGCGTTTACTGTTATTCCGAGATCTGTGTTCTTGCATTTATAGGTCACTTTTAAGTCATCTGCATATAGTATTGGTTTACCAACACTAAAGCATTCACAGATACTGTTTATATATATTATGAATAGGAGTGGGCCTAGTACACTTCCCTGGATTACACCACTACTTACAGGTTTAGGCCTTGACATTATCGAGCCAACTTTCGTTATCCGACTTCGGCCACAGAGAAATGATTTTATCCAGCTCAGGAGAGGGTCACATATCCCTAGTGAGCATAACCTGCTGACTAGCAGATTATGCTGGATGTCAGCCACGTCTCATAAACCGTTAATGCCCAGCTCTTGCTACGCTCGGGCCCACGCTGTTCCTTGCAGTTTTTCAGAAACTCTTAGTAATAACGGACGAAAAAACCAAAAGACCGATTGGCCACTCGAGAATTCTTTATTGTGACACCAACATATAAAAATAATGTTTTTACTAGGGTCTGTGAACAAATATTACAATAGTAAATCACAATATTACTTCTGATGGTTTACTGCTGACTTCTTACTGAACAGCGACCGATGAGACGATGACTATCGTATTGATGCCTCCGCGAAAATTGGGGAAGTTGGTTTTGAGCAAACAACCATGAATTGATCGTTCAATCTTCAACTGCATTGACACTCCCCGGCAAATAACGATCCAACCCTTTTTTCCTTCACGACCAATACACTTTGACTTGGATGCTATTGTGAGAACCTGGGTCACACGGACAGAGCTGAAATGGAAAACAAACAGAAAAGCCAACACACCACAAGTAGACCAGTTGGTAAATTCTGTATAATGTCCAAGTAACTTATATCTTTCCATGTGATGTTGTGGTAAGTTTCGACCACGTTTTCTCATATTTCATTAGTATGTCAGTTATTGATCTCCATTTGTATCAGATAGACATTATTCGACCGACTCTTAATTGTATGGGTGTACAACAGGTGTAATATTTAAGCTTATACATTAAATGGACCTATAATTTCGGAGGCTCTCAGATAGGAACTAGGACTACTACCGTTTGCAAACTCTTGTAGTTTGTTGTTAAGCACTTTTTTGAATGAGGCCAATGTACCTGCTTGGCGCATTTCCATTGGTAGTTTATTCCATATCTGTGCATACCTAATCAAGTAAGACTTTTGCCTGGTAGCTGTTTTACGCCCCATCCAATCTAAATTTTCTCAGCCAACACGAAATTTCAGCCTCAATATTGACGCAAATAGCACACATACTGTCAAGCCGACTATCACCGGATGGGAGGGCGATGCATTGGAGGCACGGTATAATGAACACCTCACACCCGCCGGGGTAACAAACGATGGCACATCTCTCTGTGCTGATACTGGTGTAGGGCACTTTTCCAGCACTGCTAGTAAGTGGCCACCATCTGAGTTAGCACCCATCAAACAATCTGTTCTAGACGCCATAAACCTTGGAGAGAATATTTTTAAAGATATATGCGATTTCACCGTCACCCCTAACTCTCTCTCATTCTGTCTTATCAATGCTCGCTCCTTACTCAACAAAATGTTCGACTTCACGACATTATCCCTAATTTGCAATCCGTCTCTCATAATGATTACTGAGACATGGTGCACTCCTCAGATTTGCGATAAAGATATTTCTATTGATAACTATTATGTATTCAGAGGCGACAGAAACTATGGTAGAGGAGGAGGATGTGCTATGTATATCAGGTCTGATATTAAGGCCACACAGTGCTTCTACCCAGAGCTCATCACAGATAACGATTCAGTGTGGGCTATTCTAAGACTGTCTCACTCCAGTTCCTATCTTATAGGTTGCATCTATCACCCCCCGTGCTCAACCGTTGAAGGTAATATGAAGCTTGCTAGCACGTTCGCTTACGCCACTTCACTACCTCACACGGCTAAAATTATATGTGGGGACTTTAATATGCCCGATGTAGTCTGGCAACCACTTTCCTCACCAAAACGGTACAATGAATTTATCAACATAATAGAAACAAAAGAATGGCAACAACACGTACAGTATCCTACCAGGCTATCTAAGATTTTAGATCTAGTTTTCACTAATGGTATCATCCCCACTACCCTTCGAGTAGGTAAAGAGTTTCCTGGCAGCGACCACAGAGTAGTATTCGGTACATTTAATATTTGCACTAGCATGAGTTCGACAATAAACGCCAACAAAGTATTACTCAGGGGTTACAGACATGCTCAGTGGGATGAACTGAAACCATACATACGCACCCTAGACTGGGAGCCATACTTTACGTGCAGCTCGGCTATAGAGACAAACAAATTACTCTATGAGAACCTAGGATTTGCACATGACTTCATCGCTCCAGTAAGACTTGTGAAAACGAGGCCTAAACAGCCCGACTTCATCCCCGTAAAGATTCGAAACCGACTGCGTAAGCATGCTAGGCAATTCTACAGATATAATGACTTTTCATCACTCATTACACTCAAGCAAACTTATGATTCATACAAATCTAATCAGTTATCTGAGTCCATCAAACTAGAACGCATCCTCCACTCACGACCTGATAATACAGAGGCATTAGTTAAACTAATTAAGTCACGAATCAACAACAACAGAATAAGTATCCCTAACTTATTACTAGATGGAGAAAAACTACACGAAGACCCGCAGGAGATATGTGAGTTATTCAGCTCCCACTTTTCTAGCTACTATACTATCGAAGAAACAGTAGATAGTCTTGAAGTTCCGACAATACCAAATCACTTTTTGGGTAATATAACATTCACCCAACAAAAGATTTCCTCCGCTATAGCATCCCTCCGGACATCATATAACGCTGGGCCCGATGGAATTCCATCTATCTTGTTGAAAAGAGGTGGTGAGGATATACCCATTATCCTACTAAAGTTTTTCATTCTGTCCTTAAATAATGGCAGTTACCCAGAATGCTGGAAACTGTCGTTTATAACCCCTAGGCACAAACAAGGACCAACTTCTAACATCGAAAACTACCGACCGATTAATATCACGTCAGTAGTTTCCAGGGTTATGGAAAAGGTTATAGGGCAAGATATTGCTTCATACCTCCACCTTCACAAAGTGTTTACTCCAGCACAACACGGCTTCTTGAAAAATCGATCATGCTCCACCTGCCTACTTGACTACTTTGATGATGTTACCGCTAAGCGTGATCATGGTTTGTATGTCACAACTCTCTTCTTTGACTTCAAAAAAGCCTTTGATAAAGTCCCACACAAGAGACTAATCCTTAAGCTAAAGTCGTACGGGTTCCAAGACCCCTTGTTATCCTGGCTCATTTCTTTCTTGGAAGATCGTTCCCAAGTTGTGAAATTTGCAAATAATTACTCGTCACCCAGACCTATAAGAAGTGGAGTGATTCAGGGTAGTGTACTAGGTCCACTGCTTTTCGTAATCTACATTAACGACATCTGCAGCGTAATCAAGCATGGTACCCCATACCTCTTTGCTGACGACTTAAAGATTGTATACAGCTTCCCCCATTCTACACTAAACGAAGGATTCACACATATTCAAGATGATCTGGATAGGTTACATAACTGGAGCAATGACTGGCAACTGCCATTCAATTCTGATAAATGTGGTGTCCTATATTTCAATAACTCCCATCCGAATTTCAGGTTACACCTAGGTAACTCTTTTCTCCAAACCCTCAGTTCCATAAAAGACCTGGGAGTTACCTACTCACAAAACTTAACATTCAGTCAGTACGCAAAAGCACTTGTTTCTAAATGCCGAAGACTCACAGGCTTGTTGCATCGAAAAATGTACACAAATGAGGCTAAAGTCCTTTTATACAAAGTCATGGTTCGTCCAGTACTTGAATACTGCACAATTGTCTTCGGTTTCATGCATGGGTATGACAGGGTTCGTATTGAAAATATTCAGCGAAGTTTTACTCGACGCCTATTATACAAACATGAAGGACTGACTTACGCTGATAGGTGCAAAATGTATGGACTTCAGCCACTTTGGTTAAGGCGCCTGAAACTCAACCTTACATTCCTCTTTCGCCTTTTACACGGCTACACCAAAAGCAGTAATCCAATAGCTTTCAATAATTTACCCATATATACTCTTAGGAATCATGAAAATACTCTATCCATAAGCCGGTTCCGGACAAAACTGCGATCACGTTTCTTTAAAATACAGTACAGTGCATTATGGAACGAACTTCCACTTACTGTACGTAGTTGCCGATCTCCTACTGAATTCCAGCGTCTACTTAACGAGTTCCTATCAACAAAAGAGCTTCGGTCTACTTATCCATACTTTATCCATATGGGCCGCTCAACTAGCTTTAGTACTACAGACCCCAGTGCAATACCCCCAATTTGAGGAAACTCATTTGCCCCGGCAACCGTACCTCATCTATAACGTGATAAAACCAACCTAATCTCTCCCACATGCCTTTACCTAAGGTCCGGTTATTCAGCTTACTAGAGATCCTATCGATATTTCTTCAATCGGGTTTATAAACTCATTAGACTCTCCTGGATGTATAATCCCAAATTAGTTGTGATAGTTCTCCCATAATATAAGCAAACTGGTACTTTGTAATGTCTAAAGCATGCCATATGAAAAGTGGCCAGGAATACCTAGCAATAACAAACTCAACCAACCAACCATTTTCCCCAAGTTCATTCAACCTACCCTTATCCCTAATCGTACCACTACTCACTACACTCTACTCAGTAGAATATGACTTAATTTGCTCCGGTGCTCAAAACTCTTCTACCCTTTACTTTTTAAAAAAGACGTTTTAACTACTAACTGCACAGTAGCCATTTAACTAACTCACTGGTTTCCTCTTCACTGTAATCTTCAATAAGTTCGTCAGTATAATTATTTCCGAAAACCATTACATTAGCAACCATATCTTTTAATATTTTACGAATATACTTATATTATTAGCATAATACACTGCACTATTTTTGAGTTGAATTGATTATCTTCAGTCAACAGTTACCCATTCTCATATAATTTTCTAAAATTCATAATGTTAAAGCTATGTAGTATTTCTGTTAATATCTTTTATAATATGTTTAGACACGTTACTTTGCAATGTCAGATGTCTACTATATACAAGACTGTCATGATAATTTAGTACACTAAGTCCTGCCAACCGACCTTACCTTCAGTTCATACTACCTACATTGATCCCTAACTATATTGTTCTGCTGAATCTTGCTTCACTATTCACAAAACCTATTCTTTTTATTCTTTAAGGTTTTAACTTCTTGTAAAGTAATCCGTTCATTAGGACGCATGCATACATATATAATGTTCATAAAGATGTATGTGGAGACCTATTGGAAGCACTCATTAAGAAAGCTAGGGAGATGGAATATGGGGTACGAACATGTCTGGTACCAAGCAGTATATTTGCGGTAGCCATAATAATCATATTCTCAGAGCTTAACATCAAAAAAGGAGGGAGGGTGGCGTTAGCTGATCAGTAGATATGGTGGTGGTCACTAAGGTGAATCGCCCCATTCTGCAGGAACAGCAATATACAAATTAAAGGCTCGAGATATTTCTGATTTTTATGAGGGCTTAGATCTTTATCTTGAAAAAGATAATAATGAACGCCTTGACAGATCATGCTTCTACCTTTAAATATATACCATTCGCTCAGCCTATTGTTGAGATGCGACCATGTGGGATCTGCACAGATTTATGGGGCATCTTATAAATCAACTTGCTGTCCATTGTCGGATCTTTAAATACCACTTCACAATGTCTTATCTCATTCATTTTCTAATAACGTCTTTACTTAATCCTCATTGTATCCCATTAAACCTAACATTTTATAGCTCTTTATGAATTTGATTCGACTTATTCTATTCCTATTCTCTGTGAGGTACGGTTGTGCACCAAATGCACAAAAAAGCATAAAATAAAAAAGCAGACATAAGGAAAAAATGTATTAAAACCAAAAGTGGACATCATGATACTACCAGATATACGCGTAGCATTATACATTGCAAATGAACGTTGTCAGCCTAGGGAGTTTTCTATATTAATGCATTTATTAGTGATACTTGCACTTACCCATTTCATTACACTTTATTGATTCACCTTAGCACTTTTACTTTTCTAAAATCAGCTTTCAATCCGTTGTAAACGTTGTACTTACCTCAATATTGGTTGGTTATCGTATGCCGACAACCACGGGATGAAAACGAAACGAAGTCGATTTTCCCGCTCAACCTGGAGGACAATTGTACAATTCAATAACTATACAGCCTAGTTCAGACAATGTGTATTTATATATATCAAATATTTAACTGTTGAAACATTATTAACTTGTAGACAATCTACGATTTGATATTATATCATACTTGATCGTGCCTGTAAAAATGGCATGCATTTTCATGTAAATTTATCTATTTATATGAGAATATATATTATTATTAACCTGGGTCACACGGACAGAGCTGAAATGGAAAACAAACAGAAAAGCCAACACACCACAAGTAGACCAGTTGGTAAATTCTGTATAATGTCCAAGTAACTTATATCTTTCCATGTGATGTTGTGGTAAGTTTCGACCACGTTTTCTCATATTTCATTAGTATGTCAGTTATTGATCTCCATTTGTATCAGATAGACATTATTCGACCGACTCTTAATTGTATGGGTGTACAACAGGTGTAATATTTAAGCTTATACATTAAATGGACCTATAATTTCGGAGGCTCTCAGATAGGAACTAGGACTACTACCGTTTGCAAACTCTTGTAGTTTGTTGTTAAGCACTTTTTTGAATGAGGCCAATGTACCTGCTTGGCGCATTTCCATTGGCAGTTTATTCCATATCTGTGCATACCTAATCAAGTAAGACTTTTGCCTGGTAGCTGTTTTACGTTGTTCGATAGCTACTGTACCCTTAGTGTGTCTTAGTTTGTAGCCATTGTCATCTGAAAGTCAAGTGCCATTAGTAGAGGTAAAAACTAAGTGGTTTAGAAGCTTATAGTAAAGTGTTAAGTTTAGTCTCAGGCGTCTTAGCCATAGTGTTTCTAATCCTAGGGTATCACATCTAGTGGAGTAGTTCGCACCATTTTCGGTTCCGAGTAATTTTGAGGTGAAGTACATCTGCACTCCCTCGACTTTCAATTTGTCCTCTGTGCGTATACTACTATACATGAATGAACAGTAATCAAATATAGGACGCACACAAGCCTTGTACAACATAATTCTGGACTCATTTCCGTAGAAGTTCCTGAGTAGAAAGCCGATAAGTCTGCGTGACTTTGACACTTGTTTGGAGGTATGTTCAGAAAATGATAAGTCATGTGAGTATTTCAGTCCTAGGTCCAATACAGATTCCAGTCGTAAGAGTGCATGGCCTTGAATTGTCAGGTCAAGTTCTAAGTTGTTGCAACCTATGCAGAGCCAGCCACATTTTTCGACATTAAACTGGAGTTGCCAGGTGTCACACCATCTGTCCATTTTTTCTAATTCTTGCTGTATGGCGTTTACTGTTATTCCGAGATCTGTGTTCTTGCATTTATAGGTCACTTTTAAGTCGTCTGCATATAGTATTGGTTTACCAACACTAAAGCATTCACAGATACTGTTTATATATATTATGAATAGGAGTGGGCCTAATACACTTCCCTGGATTACACCACTACTTACAGGTTTAGGCCTTGACATTATCGAGCCAACTTTCGTTATCCGACTTCGGCCACAGAGAAATGATTTTATCCAGCTCAGGAGAGGGTCACATATCCCTAGTGAGCATAACCTGCTGACTAGCAGATTATGCTGGATGTCAGCCACGTCTCATAAACCGTTAATGCCCAGCTCTTGCTACGCTCGGGCCCACGCTGTTCCTTGCAGTTTTTCAGAAACGCTTAGTAATAACGGACGAAAAAACCAAAAGACCGATTGGCCACTCGAGAATTCTTTATTGTGACACCAACATATAAAAATAATGTTTTTACTAGGGTCTGTGAACAAATATTACAATAGTAAATCACAATATTACTTCTGATGGTTTACTGCTGACTTCTTACTGAACAGCGACCGATGAGACGATGACTGTCGTATTGATGCCTCCGCGAAAATTGGGGAAGTTGGTTTTGAGCAAACAACCATGAATTGATCGTTCAATCTTCAACTGCATTGACACTCCCCGGCAAATAACGATCCAACCCTTTTTTCCTTCACGACCAATACACTTTGACTTGGATGCTATTGTGAGAACCTGGGTCACACGGACAGAGCTGAAATGGAAAACAAACAGAAAAGCCAACACACCACAAGTAGACCAGTTGGTAAATTCTGTATAATGTCCAAGTAACTTATATCTTTCCATGTGATGTTGTGGTAAGTTTCGACCACGTTTTCTCATATTTCATTAGTATGTCAGTTATTGATCTCCATTTGTATCAGATAGACATTATTCGACCGACTCTTAATTGTATGGGTGTACAACAGGTGTAATATTTAAGCTTATACATTAAATGGACCTATAATTTCGGAGGCTCTCAGATAGGAACTAGGACTACTACCGTTTGCAAACTCTTGTAGTTTGTTGTTAAGCACTTTTTTGAATGAGGCCAATGTACCTGCTTGGCGCATTTCCATTGGCAGTTTATTCCATATCTGTGCATACCTAATCAAGTAAGACTTTTGCCTGGTAGCTGTTTTACGTTGTTCGATAGCTACTGTACCCTTAGTGTGTCTTAGTTTGTAGCCATTGTCATCTGAAAGTCAAGTGCCATTAGTAGAGGTAAAAACTAAGTGGTTTAGAAGCTTATAGTAAAGTGTTAAGTTTAGTCTCAGGCGTCTTAGCCATAGTGTTTCTAATCCTAGGGTATCACATCTAGTGGAGTAGTTCGCACCATTTTCGGTTCCGAGTAATTTTGAGGTGAAGTACATCTGCACTCCCTCGACTTTCAATTTGTCCTCTGTGCGTATACTACTATACATGAATGAACAGTAATCAAATATAGGACGCACACAAGCCTTGTACAACATAATTCTGGACTCATTTCCGTAGAAGTTCCTGAGTAGAAAGCCGATAAGTCTGCGTGACTTTGACACTTGTTTGGAGGTATGTTCAGAAAATGATAAGTCATGTGAGTATTTCAGTCCTAGGTCCAATACAGATTCCAGTCGTAAGAGTGCATGGCCTTGAATTGTCAGGTCAAGTTCTAAGTTGTTGCAACCTATGCAGAGCCAGCCACATTTTTCGACATTAAACTGGAGTTGCCAGGTGTCACACCATCTGTCCATTTTTTCTAATTCTTGCTGTATGGCGTTTACTGTTATTCCGAGATCTGTGTTCTTGCATTTATAGGTCACTTTTAAGTCGTCTGCATATAGTATTGGTTTACCAACACTAAAGCATTCACAGATACTGTTTATATATATTATGAATAGGAGTGGGCCTAATACACTTCCCTGGATTACACCACTACTTACAGGTTTAGGCCTTGACATTATCGAGCCAACTTTCGTTATCCGACTTCGGCCACAGAGAAATGATTTTATCCAGCTCAGGAGAGGGTCACATATCCCTAGTGAGCATAACCTGCTGACTAGCAGATTATGCTGGATGTCAGCCACGTCTCATAAACCGTTAATGCCCAGCTCTTGCTACGCTCGGGCCCACGCTGTTCCTTGCAGTTTTTCAGAAACGCTTAGTAATAACGGACGAAAAAACCAAAAGACCGATTGGCCACTCGAGAATTCTTTATTGTGACACCAACATATAAAAATAATGTTTTTACTAGGGTCTGTGAACAAATATTACAATAGTAAATCACAATATTACTTCTGATGGTTTACTGCTGACTTCTTACTGAACAGCGACCGATGAGACGATGACTGTCGTATTGATGCCTCCGCGAAAATTGGGGAAGTTGGTTTTGAGCAAACAACCATGAATTGATCGTTCAATCTTCAACTGCATTGACACTCCCCGGCAAATAACGATCCAACCCTTTTTTCCTTCACGACCAATACACTTTGACTTGGATGCTATTGTGAGAACCTGGGTCACACGGACAGAGCTGAAATGGAAAACAAACAGAAAATCCAACACACCACACGCATCATCGCAGCTCAATCTCACACATCAATGACGACCTGCGCCTCCAGATAGAGACCCCCTCTTGACGTCTTGCAACACAATCGCCACTTGCTAGAATGACTCTTGCAGAATGCAACGTGACCATAGCAGCCCTTCACGATACTCTACGCACATCCTCTTATCTACTCACTACCAATTACCACTGAAATCGCTTGCCACTCATTCAGCCTCAGTTCTAGTAACGGTGACGTATGCGAACCTCAGTCGTTTACACTCTTTCTCCCCGGCGTGTCGGACCACAGATAACAATTATCTCCATATGCATTTCATTCTCATTAATAGCCTAGCCTCCCCGGCGTATACGACCCATCTGCTGTCCTTAACATCAATCAATTCATTCATGGATGTAGAAGACTCGAAACAACTTCAGAAGTAATCACGACAAAAATTTTAACAAAATTACGCAATAACAACAAGATACGAAAACAACAAGTAAACACAATGAATCCAAAATACACCAGTTGATATGACACACCACACATATATACAAACAGTACACACAAACTCGCGGATCATGTCTTGATGGAATTCATTTGAAGAATTGCAGGACTTACACCAGTACGCCTACAACCGTTCACAGGTTGACGATTGTAAGTTGTGGAATGTCCGGACACAAACAAGATCAACCGACAATTACAATAATTGGAACTCACACAATTATTTTACACAAACATATGTACAATCAACACATCAAATGTTGTGGATTGTGGCATGACAAACTACCCTTGAAGAACTGTAGGACTTACAGCAGTACGCCTACAACCCTTCTCAGGTTTACGCTCTAGGTTGGAAAATCGTCGCAGAGTTCATTTGCTAACTTCCTTGTATCAGCTATATCCTCAAATCGGAACGGTAACACGCTCATGTCATTGTGTCGTAGAATATAGATGACGAACAAACACACGACGCATCTAGTCAACCAAGCGTGTCACAGAGTAATTTACATCAAAGATAATAACATTCAAATAGTAACTTGAAACTAGAAATGCCTTTATTCGTGCAGGTCAATTTAACAATTACTCTCTCGTTTACACTTGGCTTATTCTCACTAAACTGAGCAATATCTTTCGTCTTTTCAAACGCACCAATACTATCATAGTCA